GTGGCCAGCTCAGCCCACCAGGGGGCAGGGCTGACTGGCATATGGTGCTGGGGGATTGAACCGCGGTCCCTGTGCTTTGCTAAGCTTGTTTTTTTTTTTTTTTTTAAGTAGGTGCTTTAGACCACTGAGCCATCTCACCAGCCCCTAAAATGCTTTCTTAAATAGGCTTTAAAACTTAATGAACAGTTCCAACTTAAAAAAACAAAATAATAAAAATTCTATAAATGTTTCAAAACATACTATTTTTTAAAAGAAACCTGTAACATACACACACACACACCCATATCCAGTATACACATACACGCTGGAAAAGCTAGCGTGATTAAGAGCAATTTCAACATAATTTGGCACTATTGCTTGAACAGTAAAAAACTACTTTTAGAACATGGCAATTTAACTATAGAAATATATCTGAAAATATATTAGCTAGTCAAGGCCTATAGTTCTATGAGAAAGGGTCAGACATTTTTCTATAAAAGAATTCATTAGAACAGTTAAGCTAAGTGATGTGTATTTATTTAACAGTCAGAATTTTCTACAGCATAATTTTGTCAATGAGCTTATATGCATGTTATTTTCTACTGAAATAATCAAACTTCACTGTATAAGAAACTTAACCAAGGAAGCCCTGTACAACTCATTCTTAGGAGGAAAACCTTTACACTGAAAATCTAAAGAGCAAAAAAAAGCCAGAAGCACCCACTTCATGGAGGGCAGATGTCGTAGCACCACATCAACGGCATGGACAGGGTTAGTGCTGATTGGCTTGTCTAATTCCAGTGGCTCAGGCAAGGTCCGTCCTGTGAGTACTTCATGCAGCAGGTGCCAACTCACCCGAGAGACAAATTTGATTGACACCTTGAAAGGTCGATCTTTTCCACCTTCCCCAGGTAATGTAACATCTAAATCTACCTGTTCACAGGACAAGAGTAAAGCGGCAAATGTTAAAAAAGATTACAATTGAAGTTCAACTTATAAAAAATCTCCGAAAAAAACAAAAAATATAACATGGTTATTTATGCCAGTATTATTCATTACTGCAAAATGCTAAAAACTACCTACATGCCTAATATTTAGGATGCTATAAAACAAATGGAGATCTTTTAGAAATGCTATGGAATAATTTGCAAGCCATATTATTAAATTAACAAAGCAAAGTATGATATCTTTTGTGTAAGGAATAAGGAAGAAGGGGTCGGGGAGATAGCTCAGTAGAATAAGCGCTTGCCTGGCAAGCGCAAAGGCCTGAGGTCAATCCCCGGTTCCGCAAAAAAAAAAAAAAAGGAGTAAGGAAGAAATAAAAAATATTCATATATTTGCTTATTTTTGCAAAAAGAAACACAAGAAGAACCAGAAAAAAAAGAAGAGAATTAATTGGAAGACATAAGGGAAGAACAATTCTAAGTACAGTATATATTTTGGTATCATTTTTTATATTTGGAAACGTGTTTGTTCCACACAGTAGGGCAGTGGACTCAGCTATGGTTGGCAGAGGTCGGAGTATCTTGAGTCCACAGAGTTCAAGAACCAGCCTGAATAACAAGTGAGATCCCTGTCTCAGACAAGTGATTTTTGGAGGGGTATGGGGGGTATCTCTATGAAAGAGGGTTTTACTATGCAGTTCAGGCTGGCCTTCATCTTGCAGCGATCCTCCTGTCTCAGCTTCCCAAGTGCTGGGATTATAGGTATGCACAACTATGTCTAGCCTAAATAAATAATTTGTTTGTAAAAGGTTTTATATATTTAAAAGTTTTAAAAATCATTAAGGATAGGAGAAAAATTAAGACTATAAGCAAAATCAAATAAATTCAAATGTATTTCCAATGATTATCATAATCACCTTGAAAGAAAAAAAGAGGAAACATTAATGGAAATTAACTATGTACTGACTGCATCCTGAGTTTAAGAAGTAAAGATGGAGAAAGGGTGGTTTGAAAGAACTCCATGCAAATGAAACAAACTCCTTTTTTCCAGTACTATACTGGAACTTGAACCCAGAGTCAAGCTCACTATGCTAGGCAAGTCACTGTTACTGAGCTACTTCCTTAACTCCCTCCTCCCATTTTTTTTTTTTTTTTTGCGGAAGCGGGGATTGAACTCAGATCCTTGTGCTTGCCAGGGAAGCACTTATTCTACTGAGCCATCTCCCCGGCCCCTTTTTTCTTTTAAAATTTAAGACAGTGTCTTGTTTAATTGCTGGAGTTGACCTTGAACTTTCAATTCTCCTGCTTCAACCTCCTGAGTAGTTGGGAATACAGTCACGTACCACACTTGGCTGCTGCCGCTTCTTTTCAGAGGGGTGCTTAGATCAAACCCAGGGTCTCATGATCCAAAAAAAAAAAAACCCAAAAAACAAAAACCAACCCACAAAACCTGCTCCTTTATGGGGGCTGAGCAGATGGCTCAGTAGAACAAGCATTTGCCTGGCAAGCGCAAGGGCCTGAGTTCAATCCCCCAGTTCCAACAACCCCCCCCCCGCCAACCAAGGTCTTATGAGTAACAGGTATGTGCTCTACCACTGAGCTACATCTTCAGCCCTAACTTGATGAGAAGCAAGAGCTATGCTAGAGGTGTTCTGAAGGGATTCAGTCTAAAAGAACTGGGATTGAGGCCAAGAGATTGCTTGGCTCCTTTGGCTGCCTACCTCTAGCACATAACTCAGTGGTCTGTTCGCTTCACCCCATTACCAATACATTTGGAGATATACTTCTGCTTGGATATTTGCCATCCACCTAGGAACAAGGACAGAAGGGCTTCTAGTATGAGTAGGGCACCAAAATGACCGACATGCCACCAAACTAGTTAAGGAAACAAACAAAATCACTGGAGTGAAGACAGGCTTGAGGGAGACAACACACAATTGGCTGGCTCTGGCAAGAGATCACATCAAATTAAAAAGCCTCTGCACAGCAAGAGAACAACCTATAGAGAAAACCTATAGAATGGGTGAGAATCTTTTGCCAGCTTCTCTTCTTACAGAAGATTTAATATCTAGAATATATAAAGAACTCAGAAAACACCATCAAAAGAATGGTATAATCCAATCAATAAAAGGGATATAAATTAGAATGGCCACTAAAGAATTTAGTGTGGAGGTTCCTCAAGAACCTAAAAGCAGCTGGGCCTGGTGGTGCACACCTGTAATCCACACACTTGGGAGGCTGATGCAGGAGGACCACTGCAAGTTCAAGGGCAGCCTGGACTACATAGTAAGCTCAAGTCTAGCCTGAACTACAAAATAAGTCCCTGTCTCAAACAAAACAAACCCCCCTCAAAAAAAACAAAACCAAAAGCATTAAAAATCAGAACTACCATGTGATCCAGGTATATTATTCTTCAAAATATACCCAAAGAAATTAAAGTTAGCATATTACAGAGATAGTACTCACTTTCCCATGCTTGTCATACCACAATTCACAATAGCCAAGTTTAAGAATCAGCCTACATGCTCATCGGTGGAAGAATGGATAAAGAAAATGTGGTGTATGCGTAAACAACAGAGTACTAGCCAGCCATAAGGAAGAATGCAATCATATCATTTGCAGGAAAATGGATGGAAATGGACATCATGTTAAATGAAATAAGACAGACTGAGAAAGACAAGTACTTGTTTTCTCCAGCATGTGGAATCTAACAACAAAAAAAGATGACATAAAAGTGCAACACAGACAGACAAACAAGAATAATGGTGTTATGGTCTGCATCTAGATGTCTCCCCAAAGCCTCGTGCAGTCCTGAGGGCGGCTTCTAGAGTTCGTGACTGACTCCTGACCCAATGCTGGGGTCATGGTGTGAGTGTGCACCGCCCTGGGGTGGCAGCCTGCACACAATATAAGGGCACGAGAGAGGCTTGCTCTCTCATTCCTTTTTGCTCTTGGTGCTTTTGCTGTCTTCTGCCACCATGAACTGCTGCCCACTGCCAGGTGCCCCTCTGCCCTGGAGCCAGATGAGTACGGACTGAAACGTCCACAAACTGTGACCTAAACAAACATTTCCTTCCTTCAGCAATGAGAGGAAAGTAACCAAGATAAAAGGAGAGGGGGTGTAAGAGAGGGTAACAGAGAGATAAATATAAACATGCATGTATGAAAATACCACACTGAAGCTCAGTATTTTGTAAAATATATACTAATAAAAATACATTTATAAAGTAGATGGAACTAGAGGTCATCAGAGAAAACAAAATAAGCCAAGCTCAGAAAAACAAGTATCAAGTTTTCCCTAATATGAGGCATGATAGAAGCCTAAGGCACATGTTTAAATTAAAAAATACTACAATAAAAGGCACTTTGTCATTAATCTTCCTCAAAATACTCTCCGTTTCAAGCACACTTATCCCATTGTTCTTGCCACTTTCTGAAGCAATTCTGGAAACCTTTTTTGTAAATATCTTTAGTTGCACTGTGGTGGCTGTACTGATGTCCTGAATACATTCAATACATTGACGCTTCACAGTCATTTTGACTTTGGGTAAAAGCCAGAAGCTGCACAGTGCCAAATCTAGTGAGTAAGGTGGACAAGGGCACATCATACTATTTTTTATGAGTCTGTATTTCTGCCGGACAGCAGGAGATAGCAGCATTCATTGTGGGGTTGTTTGTTTTTTGAGATAGGGCTTACTATGTAGCCCAGGCCAGCCTTGAACTTGTGGAGATGGTGCTGCTTCAACTTCCCAAATGCTGAGATTACAGCTGTGCACCACCACGCCTCAGTTTTTGATCATACCTAGTGACAGCACCATTCACTATATTTTTTATCATACTTCATGATACCCACAAAAGAAGACTGCTAGAGCTGCCTCAGAAAGTGTCAAGAACAATACGTATGTTCAAAGCAAGGAGTATTTTGAGAGGGATTATGGGAATGTGTCTTACTACAAGAATTTGTTTTTCTTTGAGATAGGGTCTTGCCATGAAGTTTTAGATATGTACAGTATGTATGAAAATGTCACAATGAAACCCAGGTAAAACATTTTTTAAAATGCTTAATATTAGGAAGATAGTCCTGACTCTCATTGTTTTGCAAGTTGAGTAAATTTTGTTGTTGCTGTTTTTGTTTTTTGAGACAAGGTCTCACTATGCAGTTTGGGTTGGCCTTGTACTCACTTCTATAGCCCCCAGGCTGGTCTCGAACTTGAAGAGATAAGGGTGAGTGCTGGGATTACAGATGGGTGCGCCAACACACCCAGTTCAGTTGAGTAAGTTTTTTAAATGATTGAAATAATTAAAGGAAGATTGTGAGAATATAAAAAACAGGTGCAGAGAACCTGAATATACACTTATCCAAAGATAAATAGCCAGTAAACATAAAACATGTCCAACATGAAGATGTTTTAGATGAAGAGGTAAAACAAAATGTATTGTATACATACAATGGAGTATTATTAAGCCTTCAAAGGGGAAAAAAAAAACCCTAACATATGCTACAACATGGATAAAGCTTGAGGATATGATGCTAAGTGAAATAAGTCAGTAAAAAACAAACAATCCATGATTCTCCCTAATAAAACTCATAGAGTGGTGGCTGCTGGAGGCGGAAGGGGGAAGGACAATGCAGTTTTTGTTTAATGAGTAAGTTTCAGCTCAACAAGAAAAAGCTTAGTTTTGAAGATGGATTTTGTAGATGATCACACAACAATGTTAATATATTTAATATCACTGAATTGTACCTTAAAATGGCTAGGTGTTAAGTTTTACGTTATGTGTATTTTACCAAATTTTTTTTAAAAGAAAGTATTTCCTTTGAAGATAACTTACTACAGGAAGAAAAAAACCTTTTTTTTTAGGAGGTTTTTTTTTTTTTTTTTTTTTTTATGTATTTAATACAGGGTCTACAGGGTCTCACTACATAGATCAGACTCATAGTGATCCTCCTGTTTTCAGCCTCCCAAGCGCTGGGATTACAGGCAGCGCCATCATACCCAGTCTCATTTGCTATCTCAGCATGCCCCAGGAGCAGGGCCAGCACTCCAGGAATTGAACCTGGTCCTGCGCCTGCCTAAATAGGCACTTTAGTCCGCTGTGTTATCTGGCTAGCCCAAAAAATCTTGATAGGAGAAACCTGGCAGTGATCAACCTAACCAAGAGATTAAAGTTAACATCACCTATGCTTATTATGTGCCTTTCCTTATCAGGCACAAAAATGGAAAGAACGTGTACATATTATTCCTGCCAAAAATACATAACCAACAAAACAAACAAAAATATAGCTGGAATTATTGAAGGGGGAGCATGAGACAAACCCAGACTGAGAGATACTCTACAAAAGAACTTGTCTGTGATCTTTTTTTCTTTTGCTTGACAAAGTATCTACCTATGTGGTTCACTCTGGCCTTGAACTCACTATATAGCCCAGGCTGGCCTCAAGCCTCTCAAGTGCTGGGATCACTGACATGTGCCACCATGCCCACCCTTGCCTGTAATCTTGAATCATGCTAACATCAGGAAAAGAAAAATATAAGGCTAGGAAATTGTGCTATGAAAGACAAAAAGATATATATTATATATTACATGTTATATATTATAAATATATAATAATCATGGACTAGTGGACTAGATTTTCTGACGGAAAAGATATATTAAACAACATCATTGAAACAACTGACGAAATTGGAATATAGATTGTTAAGAATCAACCAATGTTAAATTTAATGAAAGTGACAAATACACCATAGTTTTTAATCTTTATTTTTAGGAAATATACCTTAAAGTATTAAAACTTTATATAAGTATACAACTTAATTGTTAATGATTCAGGAAAAATACATATAAAGCTATATCTATACATAGCTAAAAAGAGGAAAACGGCAAGAAAAATGATAAAACTAATGTGACTGCTGGGTGTGGTCACAGATGCCTGTAATCCCAGCACTCAGGAGGCTGAGGCAGGAGCATCATGGGGAGTCTGAGACCAGCGTGGGCTACAAAGTGAGCTCAAGGCCAGCCTGCACTGCATAGTATAGTGAGATCCCGTCTCAAAAACACACACAAAATAACCCTCTAATGTGGCAATTTTAAGGATATTGGTGGATCCAGGTAAAGAACACATGAATGCTCTCTGCATGTTTCTTGGAATAGGATTTTTTTTTTTTTTCTTCCTCGAATGCCTTCAGGGCACTTTTGGCCAGCTGGAGAGTTGTGAGGTTCGAACTCCAGCAACCTGAGGCTGACAGTTTTGTGGAAGCAGCCACTTAAAGGACTGAGCTAGGGCCAGGACCCCATCTCTCTGCATGTTTCTTACTTTTCCACAAATCTGAAATTATTTTCACATAGAAAGTTTAAAAATCCAAATATTATAGATGTATACTTTTGTATAGATTATAACTTATAATAGTAATAAATTCATTTAAAAGGAGACACAGAAAAGTATATCTTTCCAAAAAAAATGTACATCTTACCCCAGTAGTTGCCACAGGAAGTGGATTAGCTGTATAAAGGCTTCTTTTTCCGTCATATACTGGTCTACGGTCTCCAAATATAGTTACTTTAAAATGCTGAACCATTGAGTCAACTACCTCCCTAAAGAAGGAAAAAAAAATTCAAATAATCTCAAGACGAAATATAAAAAATATTAACTGAAATAATTTCTGGTACAGTTTAAAGCCATCAAATTTTAAAAGACATTCATTCATACAAGATAAAGATTTTGCTTTCAGAGCCATGCTTAGGATAGCAAAAAGGCTGACTGCTGCTGGGAGAGGATGACATGTATTTTCCAAAGACAGAGAATAATGAATCTAGTACATTAATCATTCTGGGACACAAATAACCTGCAAAATATTCTCCTTAGAAATTAACTCAAAAATCTCTTTCATCAATTCAAAGCATTTCCCGACATGTTCACCTCTCTTTTCTTGAAGACAAAGATGCAAGCTTTCTATTTTGCTAAAACAGTTCCTAGTACTAATAGAGAATATGTGTTTTTATTAGAATTCAAGTAATTATTATTTATTTCATTACTACTGTGAGTTTTTGGGAGCAACAAACATACCTGCATTCCTTACACTTTCCTATCCTTAAAACAACAAAACAAAAAACCAAAATTATCTAGGCTGTAAAGATACTATGGAATTTCCATTTTTAACCAGCATACTTTTTGATCCAATATAGTCAAGTGGAAAGATATTCCAGATTCATACATTAAAAAATATACTGACCATAGAGAATGATACCAAATATCTACAAATCAACATTTATATTTGTACACATATATTCACATAAGTAGTGAAAAGATATCTGGAAGGATAAATGCTTTAAGAAAAAAAAAAAAAAGGTTAACAGTGCTGCCAGGCATGGTGATGCACACCTACAATCCCAGCACTCAGGACACTAAGACAGGAGGATCATCATGCGTTTGAGGCCAGTGTGAGCAGCACAGTGAATTGGAGACTAGCCTGAACTACACAGGGAGACCCTGTCTCAAAACAAAATAAAACAAGACCAGATCAGATCAGACCAGACCAGACCAGACCAGACCTGATCCAACCCTGTGGAAAAGAACATGAGAGTCACAGGGTCACTTTTATTTTTGTTTATACAATCTAAATATATTACCATTAAAGTAGTGTCACACAGTACTGGTATGATTCAAGATGAGACTAAGCGAATCAAATACAACCCATGTATGAGGGGAAGGAAGAGAAAAAAAAATTAACATTTTCTAGAACAACAAAAATCAAGCTGACTTGATACACAGAGCAATTAACCAAATAATACACATTTTCACCTCTCTTTTCTTTGTCTTACTAAATCTGTTTAGTATATCTTCCTAGGGTAATTTTGAGAAGTGATCAACTTTACCTGTCATGTTTTGGGTTTAAAATAAAGTTCAATAATTTTCTGCCTTATTTTTCTTTCTTTCTTTTGTGACCATTAATACAAAGGTCAGTTTCTCAGGTGTAATTTTTTTTTTTTTTTTCCAGAACTGGGGTTTGAATTCAGGCCCTTGCACTCGCCAGGCAAGTACTTCTCAGGTGTAATTACGGAGATCTAGTTTGTCTAGGATATTTTTACTATTCTGGCATCTTAAAGTTAACACTAGGGAGCTAGCGAGAAAGCTCAGCAGTCTAACGTGCCTTCTTAGGTAAGCTTAGGCAAGTGTGCAGGACCACAGTTTAATCTCTGGCACCATATGCTGCACCAGCCCCGCCCTCAGGGTGGGCTGAGCTGGCCATAAAAAAATAAAAATAAAAAAAGCAGTAATTTGGTATCATCAAATGAATCTCTTTAAAAAATCTTGTGGTTTTATACTTTTGAGGTGCTGTTTAAATGTTGAAGGACACTGAACTGGTAGGCAAAAAAAAAAAAAAAATTAGCAATTAAAAAAAATTTGTTTTGATAACATAGTACATAGTATGCCCTTGTGCTCTCTTCAGCAGCACATATACTAAAACTGGAATACATAGTATGTCCTCAATAAATATTCTAGAGGATAATCTACTTTAATGAGTTGCCAGAACCTCTAAAAGAATGCATCTGAAGTTGAGTTCAATATATTTTCTTTTTCTTTTTGGCGGAACCAGCGATTGAACTCAGGCCCTTTTATTCTACTGAGCTATCTCCCCAGCCCCTGATCAATATGTTTTCCCTAATTCAAATCTGGTTTTCTTCTGATTGTTTCTCCTATTTAATTAATGGTATTTCCATCTTTCTGCTTACCCAGACTCAAAACCTGGCTCATCTCTTTACATAACTAAGTTGCTGACTTCACTTCTCTGCGGTATTTCTTACACCAGTCCTTTCTGTCCATTCCTAATTAACACCATCTTAAATAAACACTTCAAATCCTAGAACTTGGATAATTTCTTGTAAGTTTCTTGGTTTTTATGCCTCTAGTTTGTTGTTTTTTTCTCATATCCTAATTTATAATACCACTGCCAATTAAATTAAGTCCCTCAGCACCACTTTTACTGCTTAGGTAAAAAATGATAATTATACTTCTCAGTTGGTGGCATATTCTCAACTCTGTAAGACCCTTCTTGTAACTCTTTTCTTTCTTTCCATATCCATTTCCTATCTCCATCCTTCTTTCCAAATTCTAATATGTTTGATGAACATCTTCCTGTTTGTATTCCTACTTTTACCTTCTGCACTAATATTTAAAATCTATTCATGTTGTTGTGGCATACTTAGTTCAGGTTTTTGTTTTGTATTTTGCAGAACTGGGGCTTGAACTCAGGCCCTTGCACTTGCCAGGCAAGCACTTATTCTTTTTTTTAATGTGAATTACTTTTTTTTATAATTTTATTTGTGTGTGTGTGTGGCCAGCTCAGCCCATCATGTGGTGCTGGGGGATTGAACCGTGGACCCTGGGCTTTGCTGAGCTTGTTCTAAGCAGGTGCTTTAGACCACTGAGCCATCTCACCAGCCCCCAAGCACTTATTCTTAAAAAGTTACTTTTCAATATTGTCAGAAACTTACTGAAAACCAGTTGTAAACAATTTAAACATCACTTAATTTTGTTTCTGATTTAATTTATTCCACATGGTTTCTATCCACACCCTCCACTAAGAAGTTTTATTACCTTTAACTCCCCGCCACCCAAAACAATGCTCCAATTGAACCTGTGTGGGAATTCATCTCTGGTTATACACCTACAAAACAGTCAAAGTGAATTTTATCAACTGTGACACAATAATAAAGAGCTGCTAAATTGTTCTTCAAAATGGTAATAGTAATCTACTTATGCTCATTGATCTTTCCAGTTCACTACATCCCAGCTAAGATCTGGCATTATCCGCCCTTGCTTTCCACTATTTGCTGGCCTGATAGATAAAACTAAAAGCTTGTTTTAAATTTCTTATTAGTAGTCCTGGCATGTCCCTGGTTTTCTTTTTTTCACAATTCCTATTTCCTTTGTCCATTTTTCTGACTGAGGATCCAATTTAACTGAAGGAGTTCCATTTATACTCTTAGTTAATAGGTTTAGTTATTATAAGTGTCTACTCACATAATGCTAGCTAGCTGTTTACAATGTCCATGTGTTTGTTGAACTGAAACCAGTAATTTGGCATCATCAAATTAATCTTTTTTTTTCTTATGATTTCCTATTTTTCAGGTGCTGTTCAAGAAATATTTCCTAGTATAAGTATCCCTTATTGGAAATGCTTAAAACTGAAACTGTATGTACATTATATTTTAGGGTATAGGACTCCAGTTTATTTTTTATTTTTTTTCAAAACAAGATTTTATGAGAGTAACAATGGTTAGTACATTGTGTATTGTTACTGCCAAAGTAGTTTCTCATAT